TGTAACGTGAAAGGGAAGGGAACGAGTAAGTAGGATGAGGACGACAAGCCTGTGGTGCGCAAGAGGAGGCTCGTAACGTCCACTCAAGCGCGTACGACTCTCCGCCACATGATCGCATTCCTCGCGTTCATCCCAGTCGTCGTCCCTCTCGTCACGTTGACTTTCCAAGACATCAATCCCCATGGAAAATTCGACGCCCACATCAACATCCAAACGTGCCCCGCCTGTCTCTCGTCATTGTGACTTGTATGGTGCTCGTCGCGGATGTTGTATCGTGTGCAGCTAGGGTCAGGTTCGTGTGTTGGCTAGTCCACCGCGCAGCTGGATCGAACAAGGTTCTATTGTCATTATTGCAGTATACTATCGCGACAATCTTTATAGCGATGAATTGGCAGTGGTATGTGTGCTGTATTCTCTGCCCGGCTACCAAGACGGCTGATACATTTACCTTCACCAGCACATCAGTGCTTTCCTTTTCACCGCTACCGTGTTCAGTTTCGGCATCTGCTGTGCGCTCAAGGAAGGCGACATGATCAACAAGGTCTTTATCCGCTTCCTCCTCTTCTACACCATTCTCGCGTGCTTTACCGTCTTTATGCTCTTTGTCTCTCTCGGACTCGCCACCCACCTCCTCCTTGACAAGTCGCTCAAGGCCGTCGTCACCTGTGCCACCCTCACGTGCGATCCAATCTCAACGGATGCGCTCTCGTGTTGTTCATGGTCAACTTTCGGGCCACCAACTTCCTCCAAGAACCACCACCGTCGTCCCTTGCCGTCGAGCAAATCGATCTCAGCGAGCTCTCCCAAGTTCAACGAGACGCGTTTGCGAAGCTGATCAACAAGCACGGCAAGAGGATCCCAGACGCTCCCAGTGGTGAATCTGCCATCTCGCTCATGCACGCGTACACTCAGGTCAATATCCCCGGCATGAAGTGCATTGTTCTCCGCGTGTACAAGCCATCCAAGGTCCCAGAAAAGAGCACCCTTCTCAACACCATGGCGGCCAACTACACCTACGAAGACGATTGGGCATGGGGGAACTTGGATATGGAGCACATGGCTATCCGACACCGCTCGAGTCTCCTCCCCGACATGACTGGACCCGTCACTCCGATCGCCCTACAAGCTCCACCGGCACCAAAGTTGAGCAAGAAGCAGCAGAAAAAGATTGCCAAGGCCAAGGCTGACGCCGCTGCCAACGGTGGACCGACCCTTCCTCTCTCGCCTATCACCACTCCCGAAGAACTCCAAGCCGAACTCAAATTTGTCCAAAAGCTCGAATCGACCGAAGCCCTCGTGATGATGACCCAGATCCTGGACTATGACCTTTCCCAGACGGTCAAGGGACTTGGTGGCCGTATCCTTCGTCGCATGCTCGGTGCTGGTTCGTTTTTCAAGCCATTGTGTGTGACGCTCGGGTTGCTCGCGTTCCATTGGCCTTTCCACTCTGCGACTTTCTATACTTCGAGCACCAAGAGGCCTATTGCGAGGAGTGCGGCTGTCCTCCGTGCTATTGCCGAGTGGAACGATCAACGACCACGTGCTGAGAGGTGTGCAGTTCTTCTTGATCCGACCTACCAACACGGTGATGGTGAACGCGCCATTGCTCCTTCCGGTTGGACCGCTACTCCTCTTCCTCCCTCCCACGTCGTCGATCTCCGCGCGTACAAGAACAAGACTGTCGCCGAGTATCTCATGGCCATCAAGTACCGCGACCAGGAAGGAAACTTCAAGAAGGCCAACGGAGAGGTCGTCGAGAGTACCGATTTCACCGACGGCCAATGCGCCGAGGTCATGCGTCTATGGCACCAGATCGCTGAAAAGCGTACGGGTGAAGGTGAAACTGCCGTCCTCGCTACTCCTGATGAAGGCATGTTGATGCAACTATCGGGTGGCTCCAAGGGTGACCGCTCGCTCCTCTTCCTCCGCGCCGAAAACAAGACTATTGCCTCGTGCGTCCTCTTCCGTCTCGGCGACACCATCACGTCCGACCTCCAAAGCCTCGACTACGAACTCGCTCGTCCACTCAAAGCCTATTTCGTGATGATGCAACATACGATTGGGATCGCGCTTCGAGAAGGCAAGAGCTTTGTGGACTTTGGGCCGACGACACCCAAGCCCAAGTTGGATATCGGATGCACGAGTGTAGGGATCACGGGTGCGATGTATGCTTCGTCGGCGTTATTGAGAGCGGTGATTAGAGTCGCGGCAGGGAAAGTTACCGAGGGGAGGAGACTCGAGCGGTGTCGGATAGCCATGTGCTCCATATCCAAGTTCCCCCATGCCCAATC